GCAGCATGAAGGAGTCAAAGGAGCCCCTGGGGACAGTCCAGTGTAGCTGCACAGAGCTCGGGGTGATGCTCGAGACCCTCAGGTCTTCCAGCACCGCCTTTGCTGGAGTGGCCTCAGATGTGGGGGCCTCAGTTTGGGGTTTCTCCTGCCGCGGTTCCTCTGTGGGCAAGGGCAGTTCCTCTGGCTCTTCTGCAGCTCCTATGGAGAAGGGATGGTAATACCTATTGCCATCCAAACATCCATCCATCACCTACCAACCCACTCATTCATCCACACTTCCATATTCTAGACCCTACATTCTGGCAACCATCCATCCATCCATCCATCCATCCATCCATCCATCCATTGCTTTATTGCTTCATCCCTCCACCACTCCATCCCTTCCTCCCATCACCCATTCCTCCATCCATTCATCCCACCTTCTCTCCATAAAGCCATTCTTCTTCATCCATATACCCACCCACCCTTACTTGGACTCAGTTTTGGGCTTCTCCTGTTGGGGCTCCTCGGAGGGAAAGGGTTCTTCACTGGCTGCATTGGAGAGGAAATTGTAAAAAGCAAGGGCATCCACGTGTCCCTCCAAATGTCCATCCTACCACCTACTAAGCAAGCCATCCATTCACCCATGTGTCGGTCATTGGATCAACCATCCATCCATCCATCAATCCATCCACCCATCTGTCTGTCCGTCCGACTGTTTGTCCATCCATCCATGTGTCTGTCCAAACATTCTTCCCATCACACACCCAACATACAACATAACCCCCTAGACAGCTCCATATCAACCTCTCTGATTCTTTATAATTACATCTCTTGATGCCTTCATGCCTCCCACCTCCATTTCCCATGTACAATCTTTCATTCATCCATCATTTAATCCATCCTTGATGGATAGAGGATGAGGGAAGCATGGAAGGATAGATGGAGGCATGATAATAGATGGATGATGGTGATGGAGATACATGGTAGATGAAAATTATGGATGATAGTAGATAATTGATGGTTGCTGCTGCTGATGGTGGATGATGGATGGTGGAAGGTGCTAGTCAATATGTTGGTGGAAGGGTTGATGGTTGATCACATGGTGCTGAGTCAATGGCTGCGCGCTGGTGAGTATGGGACGGGCATGGGATCCCTTGATGCCTCCATTTTGTGATCCCTCCATCCCTTTGACCGTCTGCCTCACCTGTGACAGTGTCAGTAGAGACACGGTCAATCCTTTTGCCTCCACGCAGCCCATAGAGGTGGAAGCGGTACCGATGGGATGGGGACAAGCCAGGCACTGTCACCGAGCGAGACCCCCCATCAACAGGCAAGGCTTGGGGCTGGCCCTGGGCATCCCGGTACTGCAGCATGAAGGAGTCAAAGGAGCCCTTGGGGACAGTCCAGTGCAGCTGCACAGAGCTGGGGTTGACACTCGAGACCCTCAGGTCTTCCAGCACCGCCTTTGCTGGAGTGGCCTCAGATGTGGGGGCCTCAGTTTGGGGTTTCTCCTGCTGCGGTTCCTCTGTGGGCAAGGGCAGTTCCTCTGGCTCTTCTGCAGCGCCTATGGAGAAGGGATTTTAGTGGCTGCTTACAGCCAAATAGCCATCCATCAACTACCAACCCACTCATTCATCTACACCTCCATATTCTGGACAATTCATTCTGGCAACCATCCATCCATCCATCCATCCATCCATCCATCCATCCATCCATCCAGTCATATTTCCTTTCAAACACATTTTCCTTCAACCCCTTCTTTAATCTCACCCTCCGTTTGATCATCCAACCACCCAACCACTTATCTGATCTGATCTGTCAAGCAACCATCAATCTGCCCTAAAAAACGTCATGCAACACCTGTCTTCATCCAGCCTGTTTCCTTCAGTCAGTCCTTGAATCCAATCCATCATCCACACTCTTATTGCCATGCACCTCCCAAACCTAGGACACAAATTAGCCACAGGCTCAGCCATAAATCTGCTGTCCACCCATACATCCATTCCTCCACCAATCCATCCATCCATTAATTCATCCATCCATCCATTAATTCATCCATCCATCCATCCATCCATCCATCCATCCATCCATCCATCCATCCATTCATCCATCCATCCATCCATCTATCCGTCCATTCATCCATCCATCCCTGTATTCGTCCATTTCTCCACCACTCCATCCCTTCCACCAATTACCCATACCTCCATCTGTTCCTCCCTCCATCCCTTCATCCCACCATCTCTCCATACATCCATTATTCTTCATCCATACATCCACCCACCCTTACTCCCCTTGACCTTCTCCCTCACCTGTCACAACCTCAGTGGATACATGGTCAATCTTCTTCCTGCCCCTTAGCCCATAGAGGTGGAAGCGGTACCGCTGGGAAGGGGACAGCCCTGGCACCATCACTGAGTGGGACTCGGCATCGATGGGCAGGGCCTGGGGCTGACCCTGGGCATCACGATACTGCAGCATGAAGGAGTCAAAGGAGCCCCCTGGGACATTCCACTGTAGCTGCACAGAACTCGGGGTGACACTCGAGACCCTCAGGTCTTCCAGCACCGCCTTTGCTGGAGTGGCCTCAGATGTGGGGGCCTCAGTTTGGGGTTTCTCCTGCCGCGGTTCCTCTGTGGGCAAGGGCAGTTCCTCTGGCTCTTCTGCAGCTCCTATGGAAGGGGAGGGTGATGGCCACTTCCATCCAAATATCCATCCAGCACCTACCAACCAACCCATCCATCCACACTTCAACATTTCCATATTCTGGACCATTCATTTTGGCTTTCATCTTCCATCCATTATTCCATCTATTCCTGTATTCCTCCACCATCCACCACTGCACCCTTTCCTCCAGTCACCCATTCCTCCATTCCTTCACTCCTCCAACTCTCCATATACCCAATATTCTTCATCCATACATCCATCCAGCCTTCCTCCCCCCTTACCTGTCATGACCCCAGTGGACACACGATCAATCTTCTTTCTGCCCTGCAACCCACAGAGGTGGAAGCGGTACCACTGGGAAGGGGACAGCCCTGACACTGTCACTGAGCGGAACCCGCCATCGATGGGCAGGGCCTGGGGCTGGCCCTGAGCATCCCGGTACTGCAGCATGAAGGAGTCAAAGGAGCCCTCAGGGACATTCCACTGCAGCTGCACAGAGTTGGGCGTGGCACTGGAGACTCTCAGCTCCCCCAGCACTGCTCTTGCTGGGAGTGCCTCAGATGCCGGGGACTCAGTTTTGGGCTTCTCCTGTTGGGGCTCCTCGGAGGGAAAGGGTTCTTCACTGCCTGCATTGGAGAGATGGTAATGGGCATGGGCATTCATGTGTCCCTCTAAATGTCCATCCCACCACCCACCAACCAATCTGTCCATTTACCCACGTGTCCGTCATTGGATTGTCTGTCCATCCATCCATCCATCCATCCATCCATCCGTCCGTCCTTCTTCACACACCCAACAAACAACACAACCCCCTACATATCCACATCAATCTCTCTGCCTCTTTCTAATCACATCTCTCCTTGCCTTCATCCTTCCCTCTCCCATTTTCAATGGGCAATCTTCCATTCATCTATCATTCAATCCATCCTTGATGGATAAAGGATGAGGGAAGCACGAAAGGATAGATGGATGCATGATAATAGATGGATGATGGTGATAGAGACACATGGCAGAGGAAGATGATGGGTGACAATGGATAATTGATGGTTGCTGCTGCTGATGGATGGTGGAAGGTGCTAGTCAATAGGTTGGTGGAAGGGTTGATGGTTGATCACATGGTGCTGAGTCAATGGCTGCGCGCTGGTGGGTATGTGATGGGAATGAGATATCCCTTGATGTCTCCATTTTTGATCTTTCCATCCCTTTGACCGTCTGTCTCACCTGTGACAGTGTCAGTAGAGACACGGTCAATCCTTTTGCCTCCACGCAGCCCATAGAGGTGGAAGCGGTACCGAAGGGATGGGGACAAGCCAGGCACTGTCACCGAGCGAGACCCCCCATCAACAGGCAGGGCTTGGGGCTGGCCCTGGGCATCCCGGTACTGCAGCATGAAGGAGTCAAAGGAGCCCTTGGGGACAGTCCAGTGCAGCTGCACAGAGCTGGGGGTGACACTCAAGACCCTCAGGTCTTCCAGCACCGCCTTTGCTGGAGTGGCCTCAGACGTGGGGGCCTCAGTTTGGGGTTTCTCATGCCGCGGTTCCGCTGTGGGCAGGGGCAGTTCCTCTGGCTCTTCTGCAGCTCCTATGGAGAAGGGATGTTAATGGCTGCTTACATCCAAACATACATCCATCCACACTTCCACATTTCCATATTCTAGACCATTCATTCTGGTTTCCATCATCCATCTGCCCATCCATCCATCCGTCCATCCATCATTCCATTCATCCATCCATACATCCACTCCTCCACCTCTCCATTCCTTCCTCCATTCACCCATTCCTCCCTCCCATCACCCATCTATGTCTCCATTTATCCAGTATTCTTCATCCATACATCCACCCACCCTTCATCCCACCTTACCTGTCATGACCTCAGTGGAGGCATGGTCAGTCTTCTTCCGGCCCCTCAGCCCATAGAGGTGGAAGCGGTACCGCTGGGAAGGGGACAGCCCTGGCACCATCACTGAGCGGGACTCGCCATTGATGGGCAGGGCCTGGGGCTGGCCTTGGACATCACGATACTGCAGCATGAAAGAGTCAAAGGAGCCCCCTGGGACATTCCACTGTAGCTGCACAGAGTTGGGTGTGACACTGGAGACTCTCAGCTCTCCCAGCACCGCTCGTGCAGGGAGTGCCTCAGATGCCGGGGACTCAGTTTTGGGCTTCTCCTGTTGGGGCTCCTCGGAGGGAAAGGGTTCTTCACTGGCTGCATTGGAGAGGAAATTGTAAAAAGCAAGGGCATCCACGTGTCCCTCCAAATGTCCATCCCACCACCTACCAAGCCAGCCATCCATTCACCCATGTGTCGGTCATTGGATCAACCATTCATTAATCCATCCATCCATTCTTCCCATCACACACCCAACATACAACACAACCCCCTAGACACTTCCACATCAATCTCTCTGCCTCTTTCTAATCACATCTCTCCTTGCCTTCACCCTTACCACCCCCATTTCCCATGGACAATCTTTCATTCATCCATCATTCAATCCATCCTTGATGGATAGAGGATGAGGGAAGCATGGAAGGATAGATGGAGGCATGATAATAGATGGATGATGGTGATGGAGATACATGGTAGATGAAGATGATTGTGACAATGTATAATTGATGGTTGCTGCTGCTGATGTTGGATGATGGATGAAGGTGCTAGTCAATAGGTTGGTGGTTGATCACATGGTGCTGAGTCAATGGCTGTGCGCTGGTATGGGACGGGCGTGGGTTCCCTTGATGCCTCCATTTTTGATCTTTCCATCCCTTTGACCGTCTGTCTCACCTGTGACAGTGTCAGTAGAGACACGGTCAATCCTTTTGCCTCCACGCAGCCCATAGAGGTGGAAGCGGTACCGATGGGATGGGGACAAGCCAGACACTGTCACCGAGCGAGACCCCCCATCAACAGGCAGGGCTTGGGGCTGGCCCTGGGCATCCCGGTACTGCAGCATGAAGGAGTCAAAGGAGCCCTTGGGGACAGTCCAGTGCAGCTGCACAGAGCTGGGGGTGACACTCAAGACCCTCAGGTCTTCCAGCACCGCCTTTGCTGGAGTGGCCTCAGTTGTGGGGGCCTCAGTACGGGGTTTCTCCTGCTGCGGTTCCTCTGTGGGCAAGGGCAGTTCCTCTGGCTCTTCTGCAGCTCCTGTGGAGAGGGGATGGTGATGGCTGTGGAAATGCCTGTGTCCCTCCAAATGTCCATCCCACCACTTACCAATCCATCCATCCATCCATCCATCCATCCATCCATCACTCCATCCATCCATTCATCCCAACCTCCACCCAATTCCATTGAGCTCTCGTTCTTGCTTCCCACAACCCTCCAGGCCTCTGTCCCTCCTAACCCCATTTCCCATGGACAATATTCTGTTCATTCAGCCATCTATCATTGACAGATGAATTGGACGGAAGAATAGATGGATGGAAGATGACTGATGAATGATGATAAAGATTTATGAATGATGATGATGGTGGCGGTGGTCATACATGGTGGATAAAAATTATGGATTATAATGATGGATAATAAATGGATGATGATGATGATGATGATGATGATGATGATGATAGTGGATGGCAAATGTTGGTCACCAGGTCAGTGGAAATGTCAATGGTTGATTGGACAGTGCCCATGTAAGTGGATGCTCACTGACATATGGGGATGGAATGGGAGTGGGATCTCTTGATCCATCCATCTATCCATCCATCCATCCATCCATCCATCCATCCATCCATCCATCCGTCCCGCTAACCTCCCATCTCACCTGTGATAATATCAATAGAGACACGGTCAGTCTTCTTCCTGCCCTGCAACCCATACAGGTGGAAACGGTACCGGCGGGATGGGGACAGTCCTGGCACTGTCACGGATCGGGACCCTCCATGAATGGGCAGGGCCTGGGGCTGGCCCTGGGCATCCCGGTACTGTAGTGTGAAAGAGTCAAAGAAGCCCTCAGGGACACTCCACTGCAGTTGGACAGAGTCAGATGTGACACTGGAGACCCTCAGCTCCCCCAGCACTGCCTGCACCACGGGGGCCTCAGATGGGGGTGTCTCAGTTTGAAGTTTCTCATGTTTTTGCTCCTCTGAGGGCAGGAACATCTCCTCTGGCTCTTCTGTGCCTGCAATGGATGATGGCATGGTAATCCCTGTGTCCCTCCAATCATCCATCCCCCTACCCACCAATCAATGCATACATCCTTCCATTTACACTTTTATCTGCAGGACTGTTCATTCCAGCTCCCATCATATACCCATCCATGTAGCTACAGTTCATATCATGCACATTTTCCTTCAAATCCTTTAACCTCACCATGCATTGGGTCATCCAACTACCCACCAACTGATCTGACATGTAAAATCACAGTCAAACTGTTCCCACAGCTATCATCCATTATCCATCTTCATCCATTCATTTATCCATCCATCTTGTTTCCTTCAGTCAGTCCTTCAATACAACCCTAATTGAATCTGGTTTGAATACAGTCTTACACCCCTGTTCCCCTATAATCACAACCTCAATCAGGGGAGAAACCAGCCATGGACTCAGCTGCATGTGCACCTGTCCAGCCACGTGTCCATTCAGCATTCATCCATCCAATCCACCCAGGAGGCCACCCTCCATTGATATATCATCCATCACTATCCATGCATTCCCCACCACCCCCTATCCTTCAACCTACCCAACCAACTAACTCACTCAGGAGCCACCATTCATTTTCAATCATCCACCCATTCCTCATCTCTTCCTCTGTGCATTCATCAATCCATCCATCAATGCATCCATCTCTCACCTTAACTGTGCATCTATCCATGCAATTCTCCAAACACCATCCATCCATCCATCCATCCATCCATCCATCCATCCATCCATCCATCCATCCTCCATCTTTCCACTCCTGCACCTCTCTATCCCTTCCTTCACCCACCCGTACTCCCATCCCTTAATCCCTCCCTCTCCCTCCCACTATGCACTCTCACCCCCCTGACCTTCTCCCTCACCTGTCACAGCCTCAGTGGATACATGGTCAGTCTTCTTCCTACCCTGCAACCCATAGAGGTGGAAGCGGTACCGCTGGGAAGGGGACAGCCCCGGCACCATCACAGAGTCTGACCTCCCGTCGATGGGCAGGGCCTGGGGCTGGCCCTGAGCATCCCGGTACTGCAGCATGAAGGAGTCAAAGGAGCCCTCAGGGACATTCCACTGCAACTGCACAGAGTCGGGTGTGACACTGGAGACCTTCAGCTCACCCAGCACCGCCTGCACAAGAGGTGCCTCAGATGCCAGGGACTCAGTTCGAGGTTTTTTATGTTGGGGCTTCTGTGAGGGCAGGGGCAGCTCCTCTGGCTCTGCTGTAGCTGTGGTGGACAGTGGATAGTGATGGGTGTGGGAATGCCAGTGTCCACCCAAACATCCACCCCACCACCCACCAACCAACCCATGCATTCATTCGCAAAGATACCATACACCTTTTCCTTCAACTCCTTCTTTAATCTCATCTTGTACTGGGTCATCCAACCACCCAATCACTGCTCTGATATGTCAAACCACCAACAAAATGCCCCCAACAACAATGATGCTCCATCCATCCATCCATCCATCCATCCACATCCATCTACTCCTGCACCTCCTCCATGTCTTCCTCAACCCACCCAATCCTCCATCCCTTGATCCCTCCATCTTTCCACCTTCCCATCATTCTTCATCCACCTACCCACCCTCCCCCCTCTGACCATTCCCCTTACCTGTCATGGTCTCGGTGGAGACATGGTCAATCTTCTTCCTGCCCCTCAGCCCATAGAGGTGGAAGCGGTACCGCCGGGAAGGGGACAGCCCTGGCACCGTCACTGAGTGGGACTCGCCATCGATGGGCAGAGCCTGGGGCTGGCCCTGAGCATCCCGGTACTGCAGCATGAAGGAGTCAAAGGAGCCCTCAAGGATGCTCCAGTGCAGCTGCACAGAGCTGGGGCTGATGCTGGCGACCCTCAGCTCCCCCAGTGCTGCCCGTGCTGGGGATGCATTTGATGCAGGGGCCTCAGTTTTGGATTTCTCATGTTGGGGCTCCTCTGAGGGCAAGGACAGCTCCTCTGGCTCTTCTGCAGCTGTGATGGAGAGGGGATGGTGATGGGTGGGTCCATCTGAACACCCATCCACACTTTCATGTCCTGGATCATTCATTCTGGCTTTCATCGTCAACTCATCCATTTAAGCACGGTTCTTTGCAGGCACCTTTCCTCTCAATTGATTCTTTAACTTCTCCCTCATTTGGATCATCCAGCCACTTAACCACTGATTTGATACATCAAACCTCCAGCAAATTGCCCCAACAACCATCATCCATTCACCATTGATCATCATCATCATCACCATCCATCACTTCCCATCACAGTAACCAACCTTCCTTCCTTCCTTCCTTCCTTCCTTCCTTCCGCCACTTCTATCCCTCCAGCCAGCCAGCCACCCTACTGTGCTGTTACCCGTCCTCCATCCCCAAACTGGCACACTTGGGATTGGGGGAAACTGGGGACAGCTTGGGTGGACAGATGCGGGATGGGTGATGGATGATGATGGATGATGTCACTGGGTTCTTGATAGCAGGTGAGGATAGGATGAGATGGGATATACTGATCCCTCCATCCATCATCTATTCATCCGTCCACCCTCACCTGTGATGACATCAATGGAGACACGGTCGATCCTCTTCTCACCCCGCAGCCCGTAGAGGTGGAAGCGGTACCGGTGAGATGGGGACAGCCCTGGCACAGTCACTGAGTGGGACTCGCCATCGATGGGCAGGGCCTGGGGCTGGCCCTGGGCATCCCGGTACTGCAGCATGAAGGAGTCAAAGGAGCCCTCAGGGACGCTCCACTGCAGCTGCATGGAGCTGGGGGTGATGCTGGTGACACTGAGGTCACCCAGGACTGGCTGGGATGGACGCAGCTCTTCTGGCTCGGTTTTGACTGCAACAGAGTGGGAACAGTGTGGGCACAGGCATCTGTCTGTCCATTCACATGGCCATCCATGTTTCCAGCCCTCCCTCCATCTATCCCTCCCTTATCCCTCCATCTCTTCATCCATTCCCTCCTCCATTCATGTCTCCATTCATCAGGCTCTCCATCTCTCCAATCCATGTGCCATCCATCCATCCATTCCTCCTCTCTCCATCCCAGGTATCACAGAAACACAGAATCTTCTGAATTGGATGCGACCCACAAGGGTCATCAAGTCCAACACCTGCGCTCATCCCATCCATCAGCCCCCCCATCAGTACCTGTTTTCCCCACGTCCCTCCATGGCTCCGTCAGCTTCATCCCATCCATTTCCCCCCATTCCAGCACTGGCTCCTGGTTTCCACCCTCCCCTGCCCCCAGAGAGTGTGTTACAGGACATCCCTGCCACCCCATGTCTCTCATTTCCCTCCCCAGGATGTCCCTCCCCCTCATCCCTGTATCCTCCTCCTTCTCAGGATGTCCCTTCCACCCATCCTCCCCATCTTCCCTGTTCTCCTTCCCCCATCCCTTCCATCCCACCCTCCATGGAATGTCCCTTCCCTGTCCTATCCCACTCCCACAATCTCCCCAACCACCTCCCTGCATTCCCCTCCCTGTGATGTTACTTTTTCCCCATCCCCCCTGTTCCGCTCTCCAGGATGTCCCTCCCCTTGTACCCTCCATCCCTGAGGCATCCTTTTCCCCCCTCTCCCTCCCCAGTGTCCCCACACCCTCCTGGTTCAGCCCCCGCTGTGACATCCACCTGCGGGTCCCTGTCCTCTCCCAAGGGTTGGGTGCCGGCGCAGGATGTAGGCCAGGATGGCACGGGCCACCCCTGGCACTGTCTGGTTGCCACGGAGTGGGAAGTTGGTGGCCCGAAGGTGGCTCTCGAGACGCTGGAGCAGGGATCCACTGTACGTGGACAGCCGGGCCACCAGGTCCTGCAGGGAGGGGATGCCTGGGGACAGTGGGGGCCACGGGGACACTGGGGACCACGGGGCTGGAGGAGACCCTGGAAACACTGGGGACTCTTGGGACCATGGCAGCTCTGGGGACTCTGGGGACAATGGGGACTCGGGGGACACTGAGAAATCTGGTGACACTGATGATCCTGGGAATTCTGGTGATGCTGGTGACTCTGGGGATTCTGGTGACACTGATGACCTTGCAGGTGCTGGGGATCCCAGGGACCCTCGAGCTACTGGAGATGCTGGAACCTTGTGGGGTGCTGGTGACCCCAAAGACCCAGGTGACCCCAAGGACAAGTCTGGTGATATGGGTGACACCTGTGACCCTGGGGACCCCAGTGACCCTGGGGATCCTGGGGACTCTGGGGGCCCTCGGACTGATGGCGCCACAGCTGGGGACCCCAGGGAGCCCTGAGGTGACCCCGGGGACCCCTCATAGTGAGGCACAGACGGGATGAGTGCTGTGGAACAAAGAGGACCCATGTCACCAATCTGTCACAGAGAGTCCCTGGGAGACATCCCTGTCCCAATCCCTGGGTCATCCCCACCCCTGTCCCCATGTCCATGTTACCCCCTGCATCCATGCCTATGGATACAACCCTATCCCTGTTTCCCTGGCATCCCTGTTCCCATCCTTGTCCCTACCCCCTTGATTATGCCATCGCCGTCCCCAACCCCATCCTTGTGCCAGCCCATCTCTGTTCAATGCCACACTGTCCCCATGCTGTCACCACCTCTGTGCCGCTCCTGACCACACATCTAGGCTGTCCCCTTAACGGTGACACTGTGCTATCACTGTCCCCATGGCCATGCCAGCCCCAACCCCATCCTTGTCCTCTTGCTGTCCCTGCCCCCATGGTGACCCCATGTCATCACTGTCCCCATCCCTGTGCCATCCCCATTCCCACTGCCTGTATACCACCCTGTCCCTGTCCCCATGCCACCCACTGTCCCGATTCCTTTCCTTCCATCCCCACTCCCATTCCTGTCCCTGCTGTGTCCCTAACTCCATCTCTGTGCCCGCTGCCTTGTTCCCAGGTGTCCCCACCTGTGCACAGGTGTAGGACCCCAGGCTCTCTCCATCCTCATCCCCATGCCATTCCCACCCTCACCCTTGTTTCTGTTGCCTCACCCCCTTCCCTGTTCCCACAGTGTCCCCAGTGTCTCCCTGTGGTGTCCCCAAGTGTCCCCACCTGTGCGCAGACGCAGGACCCCGGGTGCCCCCAGGTGCGGCCCCCGCCGGGCCTGGACCAGCAGCTCGAAGGGGCGGCCCGGTGACAGCCCTGTCACCGAGAAGGCGACAGCAGAGCTGGGCAGTTCGTGCGTTGTCATGGCCACAGGGTCATCCTGGGGACGGGGACAGTGTGAGGGGATGGGGGAAACCATGGGGACACCAGAGGGAGACACTGAGGACACATTGAAGAACATGTTGGGAACTTGAGGGACAGATTGGAGACATGTTGGGGACACGGTGAGGACAGTGTGGCGACTCATTGGGAGTGTGTTGAGGGATACATTGGGGACACCATGGGAACACACCAGGAACGTGGTGGAGACACAATAGGGAACACTGGGGACACACTGGACGCCATGGGACATACTGGGGTCATGTTGGGGTCATGCTGGGGGGGATGCACTGGGCACATGTTTGGGACACGTTATGGGGGCTTATACATACTTGGAACACATAGGGGGTACCACTGAGGACACCTTGGGGACACATGGGGATGATTTGGGGACATACTGGGGTCTTCCCATTGTGGCCACACAGGTGGCACTGGGGTCTTGCCCCTTCCATGTCCCTGTTCCCCTCTGAGTCCCCTCCTGTCCCTGTCCCATCCCCATGCCCCCACCCCCATGTCTCCTGTGTCCTACTCACCAGGGGGACAAGTGTCACCCGGTAGCCATCAGGAGGAACGAGGGGCTGGGGCCAGGTGATGCGCAGGGATGTTGGGGTGCGGGAAGCCAACCGTGGTGTTACCCAGGGCACCTCTGAGGGGACAGTGCAGGGACACCATGGGGACACCCATGGGATGGTGACACCCTGGGATGGTGCATCTAGGGGATGGACACATGCTGGGAGCACCCTAGGACATGCTGGGGACACACTGGGGACACAACGGGATGGGGCCACTCAGGGATGGGTCACGGGGAGGCACTGAGGGGCACTGGGAGTGGCACATAGGGACACTTGGGGACACACTGAGGTGGCACGAGAACCCGCCATGGATGGGGAGAGAAGTGGGGGAGTACTGGGAGCACTGGGATGGGAGCACTGCAGGAACTCTGAAGGGCACTGGCGAACAGCTGGGTATGCATTGGTGCCGCAGCAGGGTCCCCCCCAGAATGCGAGTGTAGGAGGGGGAACATTGGGAGCGCTGAGGTGGCGTCACTGGGAAGTCACTGGAGGAGCACTGGGAAGCCGCCGATGCCGCAGCAGGTTCCCCTCCCACCCAGGGGCACACAGCGGGAGCACCGAGGTGGGGAAGACGGGAGGTCACCGGGGGGTACCGGGGGGCACCGGGACGCACCGATGTCGCAGCGGGCGCCGCCCCATCCCGGCGCGCAGGCGGGGGTGGCGCAGTCGGGGCCGCCGAAGCCCGGGAAGCAGCGGCAGCGGCCGCGCTCGCAGCGGCCCTGGTCACTGCAGCCGCGCGGGCACGCGGGGGGCGGCGCCGGGGGCGGGGCCTCGCCCGAGGGGGCGGGGCAAGCGCAGCCTCCGCCGGCAGGGGGCGCACAGAGCTGCACCGACCGGCCTGGGGGACACAGACACAGGGGTGACCCCCAGCGACCCCCCCAGGGACTCACACCGGCCCCCTTTTACCCCCCGAGTCACCTCCCACTGACTCCCAGTGACCCCAGCAGTGACACTCCACTGACCCCCTAGTGAGCCCCCCAGTGACCCTCCCAGTGACCCTGATGACTGCCAGTGACTTGCACTGGCCCCCTTTTACACCCCTAGTGACCTCCCAGTGACCCCCGCTGACCCTGGCAGTGACCCCCCCTGTCACCCACCAGTGACCTCCCACTGACTCCCCCGACCCCAGCAGTGACCTCTCCCACTGGCCCCCCACTGATCCCCCAGTGACCTCCCACTGACCCCCCAGTGACCCCCCACTGACCCCCAGCTGGACCCCCACTGATGCCCCCAATGACCACAAGGACCATCACGACCCCAATGTCCCCACCAATAACCACCTCAGAGGGTCCCCAAGGCCCCCCCCAATGACCCCCCAATGACCTGCTATGTCCCGCCTGTCCCTCATTCTCCCCTGCCCCTGTGTCCCCTCCATGTCACTAATCTCTGTTACCTGTCCCAGCCTCGGGTTCTGCCATGTCCCCTCACTGTCCCCATGAGCCCCATATTCCCCCATGTCCCCTACGTCCCCCTCCCTCTGTTCCCCTGTCCCAGCCTGGGACTCCCCCGTGTTCTCCCCACTTGTCCCCTGTTACCTGTCCCGGCCTGGGGTCTCCCCTTGTCCCCACAGTGTCCCCTCAGTGCCTGCACGTGTCCCTCGAGCTCCCGCAGCCGCCTCAGCACATCCGCCAGCGCCGCCCCGCACGACTCGGGGGGAGACGTGGCAGGGGACACTGAGGGGGACACTGAGGGGGACACTGCCTCCCCCCGCAGCGCCAGTGCCAGCAGGAGGAGCCGCAGTTCCAGGGTCACCGGCATCGTCCTGGAGGAAAGCAGGGGGACATGGGGACACCCAGAGGCAGCCACGAGGGAACACGGACACCGTGGAGAGACACAGGGACAACTGTGGGGACACAGGCACATGTGGGGGGGACACAGGGACACCTGTGGAGGCAGCTAGGGCACACAGGCACAGGCAGGAGCATGCAGGGACACCCATGGGGACATCCATGGGGACACACAGGCACCAGTAAAGGACATAGGGACACAGATGTTGGGGACATCTGAGGGAAACAAGCCACGGGGAGGACGTGGAGACACCCTGGGGTCACACAAGGGACACACATGAAGCACAGGGGATACCGATGGGGGGATGCAGGGGGACAAGGACATCTTGGAGGACACCCCAGTGACACGGAGGGGGAAGAGAGACACCCGTAGGGGACACCCATACACAGCGGGGACACCACTGGGGACATCCTCAGGGATGCATGCACACCAGAAGGGGACACAGGAACATCTCTGGAGACACCTGAGGGACACGGGGACACACACGAGGCGGGCACAGGGAGACCCATGGCAACACAGGCATAGTTGTGGGGGACATGAGGGACACCTGGGGGACATTCCTGCAGACACACAGACATCCCAAACCACAGCACCTCCCGGTAACCCCCAGTGACTCTTCAGTCACCCCCAGTGACCCCCTCAGTAACTCCCAGTGATTCCCAGTCCCCCTCAGTCCCCCAATCCCCACAGTTCCCCCAGAGCCGCCTACAGAGCCCCCCGTTGCCCCCCGATTCCTCCAGTCTCCCACAGTACCCCCCAGTACCTTCCCAGTCCCCCCGCAACTTCCCCCAGCGAGCCCCCGATTCCTCCCAATTCCCCCTGTTCCCCCAGTGCCTCCCGAACCCCCCCCCCCCCGCTCTCGCTCTGGGTCGGGCAGGGTGGCCCGTGGGGGGCGGGGCCGGGGGCGGGGCCTGGGCCACGCCCTCCCCGCCCCCCCCAGGGGAGCCGCCCCCGCCCGTGTTTGGGGAGTCGCCATGGAAACCAAACAACCGAGAGGGAAGGGCTCCCAGTGCTCCCAGTGACACCAGTAACACAGCACAGTCCGTCCCAGTGCTCCCAGTGACACCAGTAACACAGCACAGTCCGTCCCAGTGCTCCCAGTGACACCAGTAACACAGCACAGCCCATGCCAGTGCTCCCAGTGACACCAGTAACACAGCACAGCCCATGCCAGTGCTCCCAGTGACACCAGTAACACAGCACAGCACATCCCAGTGCTCCAGTGACACCAGTAACACAGCACAGCACATCCCAGTGCTCCCAGTGACACCAGTAACCCCAGTGCCACCTGCCCTCCAGCCCCCAGTAACACCAGTAACACCAGTAATACGGCTTAGCAGGACCCATCACTCCCACTACCACTAGTATGGCCCATCCCAGTGACACCAGTAACACAGCACAGCACATCCCAGCGCTCCCAGTGACACCAGTAACCCCAGTGCCACTTGCCCTGCAGCCCCCAGTGCTCCCAGTAACACCAGTAACATGGCTTAGCAGGACCCATCGCTCCCAGTGCTGCTAGTACGGCCCATCCCAGTGGCACCAGTGACGTGGGAAAGCCCATCCCAGTGCTCCCAGGAACCCCAGGGCAGTCGGTGCTGGGGCTCCCAGTGACACCAGTATCGCCTGCCTCAGTGCTCCCAGTGACATCAGTAATGTGGCCTCAGTCCTCCCAGTGACACCAGCAACCCCAAAAACCCCAGCAAGCCTAACCTATGAGTCCCAGTAACACATCCCGATGCTCCCAGTGACACCAGTAACATGGCACAATCCACCCCAGTCCTCCCAGTTACACCAGTACAGTCTGTCCAAACGCTCTCAGTAACACCAGTACTGCGGCACAGCGTGACCCAGGGCTCCCAGTAAGACCAGTGTGGCTCATCCCAGTGCTCCCAGTGCCCCAGCACAACCCCTCCCAGTGCTCCCAGTCCGGGCGTGGCCGTGACTCACTGCCCCGGCAGCAACAACAACAGCGGGGGGGGCTCCTGGGGCCCCCCAAAAGGCCGGGGAATGGGGGGGGGGGCAGCAGACGTGGGCAGGAGCAGAGCGGGGGGAGCAGCCCGTGTCCAGCCGATATCCTCCCCTGGTCCTCACCCTTTTCTCCCCTCCTGTTCCCCCCCACCGCGTGTCCCCCCCGCCCCCGCCAAGGAATTTTCTCCATCAACACGATGAGCTCATGGGGGGGGAGGGGCGGCGGGGCCCCGCCGGGGGGGTCCCGGCCCCAGCCCCTCTGCCGACGCCTCTATTGTTTGATTTATTGATTTGTTATTGCGTAGGTTTCCAGATTTATTGATTGATCTCACACCCGGTCACTGTCACAGCCCCGGCCCCGAAGTCACCCTCTCCCCACGGTGTCCCCATCCCTGCTCCCCATGTCGCCACTGCCCCTGCTCCTGCAGCGTCCCTGTTCTCACAGTCTCCATCCCCAGTGTCTCCCTCCCAGCCCTAGTCATCCCCCTCCCCGTCCTCAGTGTCCCCCGCTGTCCCCCACGGGAGGGTCCTTAGTTCCTCCGGGCTCTCCAGCTCCCGCAGCCGCCCCCCCTCCAGCAGGGCCACCCTCTGTGCCCGTTGTGCCAGGGCCACCCTTCCTGTCACCAGCAGCACTGCCGGCCCCTCCCCTGTCCCGGGACACAGCAGCTCCTGCTCCACCTGCGGGGACACGGCAGGGGCAGGGCACATGAGGACACCGGGGGACACGGTGGAGATGGGGGACTTGGGCGTGTCAGGGGACCCCGGGTGGAGAGCATAGAGAGGGACCTGGGGAGTGGGGACATGTGGACACAGAGGACATCGGGACCAAGGGGGCTCTGGGCTTGGGGTCATGTGGGACAAGGACCCAGGGATGTGGGGACCCAGGGTAGGTGGGGACACTGGGACCAAGGGGACACAGGGGCAGGGTCCTGGGGGATGTGGTGGCCCAGGGGACCTGGCACAGGAGACCCCAGGGGACATGGGGGTTAGCAACCAAGGGGACACAGGGAGTGGGAGCAGAGGGAATACAGGGCACTCAGAAAGTGGGGACCCAGGGGACACAGGGCACATGGGGGACATAAGGATTGGGGACCCAAAGGACATGGGGATTGGGAACGCAGAGAACATGGGGACAAGGAAGGGATCTAGGGGATACATAGGGACCAAAGGGACACAGGGGCAGGGACCCAGGGAATTTGGTCACCTAGGAGACCCCAGGGGACATGGGGGCAGCAACTAAGGGGACATGGGGAGTGGGGACCCAGGGGACATGGTGACCCAGGGGGCACAGGCCATATGGGGGACATGAGGATCGGGGACCCAGGGAGTGAAGACCCAGAGGACATGGGGACCCAGGGGACCCAGGGGATGGGGCTGTGGGACACAGGGACAGGGCTGTGACCTACCTGGCACCGGGTCATGGGGTCGAGTGCCCTCGTGGGCTCATCCAGCACCAGCACTTGGGGGTTCCTGAGCAGGGCCCGGGCCAGCGCCACCCCTTGTGCCTGCCCCCCTGAAAGCTGCATCCCCCGTGGGCCCACCTCTGGGGACAGAGGGGACACCATGGGGACACCACAAGGATACTGTGGGGACACCATGGGGACATTGTGTGGACACACTGGGGAGCTGCACCCACTGTGCACCCGCTGCTCCGGGGACAGTGAGGGGACAGGGAGGAGGCAGAGAGGATACCAAGGGGACAACATGGGAAATTGGGAGCAGGTGAAGAGTGGACAGTGAGGAGACAACAACGGGATGCTGTGGTGACAGCATGGGGACACTGAGGGGACACCATGGAGACACATTAGGGACACCAAGGGGAGACACTGGGGACATGTTAGGAAGGATACCCCCTGCACCCCCAGCTCTGGGGCACACAGGGACAACAGAGATGGGACAGTGAGGGAACAGTGAGGTAGCAGAGAGGACATGGAGGGGACAGCATGGTGACAGCATGGGGACAGTGAGGGAATAGTGAGAAGACAGAAGGAACATGGTAGGGAGACTGTGGGACACTACAGACACCCTGGGGATGGTGAAGCGACATCATGGGAACAGCAGGGGACACTGGGGACATAATGGGGACACAATGGGAAAACTAGGGAGAGCAAGGGGACACCTTGGACACATTATTGGGACACTTTTAGGACATCTTTGGAACACACTGGAGACACTACAGGGGGACCATGGGAACACTGGCCGTACCTGTGCCATAGCCGTGCGGCAGCTGTTCGGCCCAAGTGTGCGCCCCCACCCGCCGTGCTGCTGCCATCACCTGGATCCCCTCCTTGTGTCCCCAGCCCAGAGCGATGTTGGCACTGAGGGAGCGGGACAAGAGGGACGGACACTGCAGGACACCAGCCACCTGCAGGGACAGGGAACATAGGGGAACAGGGGGGAACATGGGACCACTTAGGGATTTGGCAGGGACAAGGAGGGGACATGTGGAGACATGGGGTGGTGGCAGGGTCATGGTTAGGCTGGCTGATGACACAGGGGTGACTATGAAGAACTGCTTGGAACACAGGAGTGACCTGGGGATGGCAATGGGGATGTGCTGGGGACATAGGGTGACATGGTAGCCATGGCTGTTGGGACAATGGTTGACCTGGAGTAGCCATGGTAACCCGCTGGTGACATAGGGGTGGAACTGGGGACCCAGGGGTGATGTTGGGGTGGCAGTAGGGACCCATTTGGGGCACAGGAGTGACCTGAGGGTAGCAGTGGGGGCCTGTTGAGGACCAGGTGTGGACCCAGGGGTGGCTGTGGGGACCTGTTGGTGACAAAAGACTGCCCAGGGTGGCTAGGGGAACACAACGGAGAGGTTTGGTGACAGGGGAACAGCAGCAGGGGATGGATGGTGACCTAGGGGTGGCTGTGGGGGCCCGGCGGTGGCCCGTGTGTGTCACCTGTTCCCGCAGAGCAGGGTCCGAGTGAGGGGTCAGGGGGGTCCCGTTCAGCAGCACCGCCCCGCCCGCCAGGGGGCGCAGCCCCAGCGCGGCCGCCACCAGTGAGCTCTTCCCGCCGCCAGGGGGAGCCAGCACGGCCACAACCTCCCCGGGGCGCAGCGACAGCGACACCCCCTGGTGGCAGGAACAGGGATCGCACCCGACACCTCCCCGTGTCCCATGTGCCCCCGCGGCCCCAATATCCCCTTGTCCCCCACAGGTCCCATGTGTCCCCCCCGTGGCCCCAGTATCCCCTTGTCCCCCCAGGTCCCATGTGCCCCCGTGGCCCCAATATCCCCTTGTCTCCCCGTTTCCCCATGTCCTCCCCATGTCCACAATATCCCCTTATCCTGCCATGTCCCATGTGCCCCCATGCCCACAATATTCCCTTGTCCCCCCATGTTTCCCCATGTCCCCAGTACCCCCTTGAACTGCCATGTCCCATGTGCCCCTATGTCCACAATATCCCCTTGTGGCCCTGTCCCATATCCCCCCAAGTCCTGTGCTTCCCCATGTCCCATGTTCCCCCATGTTCACAACACCCCCATGTCTCCCCATGTCCCTGTGTCACCCATCACCTTGAGGACTGGCTCGGACCGCCCAGGGTACGACATCCAGACATCCTTGAGGCACAGGCCTCGAGTTTCTGTGGCCTCATGGCCCCCGGGGGTAACAGGTGACGGTGGTCCTGCGAGTGTCCCCATCTTGGCCTGCTCCAGCAGTTCCAGGAGTTTTTCAGAGGAGCCAACGGCCTTGGCCAGGTTCGGGACATAGAGGAGCATGACCTGGGGACATGGAAACATGATGTGACATAAGGGAGCTATGGAATGGCCTGGGGGCATGGGAGGACTTGGGGGACACAAAGGACATTGGAATACAGGAGACAGTGGGACATGGGGGGGTGATAGGGACATGGGGGGACATGGGGACAGGAACAGGCATAGCAAGGGAGGAATGGGGCTTGAGGGCACAGAGGGGACACAGCAGGGTAATTTTGGACACTGGGGGGGTAAAACATGGCTGGGACAGGTTAGGGATACGGAGAGCAGGCATGGGGACATGGATGGGGACATAGGGAGCTGGTGGGCACATGGCAGGGGCACACTAGGACATAAGTGAGGGTGGGGCTGGGGACACAGGAGACAGGGACAGGTACATGGCCAGGAGAACATGGGGACATCACTGTGAGGATGTGGGGACATAGGGACATGGTGGGGGGACAGAGGGAGGGGAGTTGGGGACAAGGGGGACATGTACAGGACACACTTGTCACCTCCACAGCCCTGGTGAAGTGCAGCTGGCACATGAGAATGGTGACCAGTTCCCCACGGGTGACAGTCCCTGCAGCCACCAAGCGTCCCCCCAAGAAGAGCAGTGCCAGCTTCAGGATCAGTGCAGGAAACTGGGGACACAGGGACACAGCGTGTTATTCCAGCCTCATGTCACCGTGTCCCCCAGCCCCATGCCACCATGTCCCCTTCCCCAGGCCACACATCCCCATGCTCCTCAACCCCAGGCCACCAGGTTTCCATGTCCCCTGGCCCCACACTGCTGCTCCTCATGTCCTGCCACCCCCATGCCACCATGTCCCCTGGCTCTTTGCCACTGTGTCCCTGTTCCCCAGCCCCTGCCAACACATCTCCCATCCCTGTACCCACGTCCTCATCCCCCTGCCACCACATCCACTGTGACCTCCTGCTGCCACGTCTCCCTGTCCCACATTCCCATGTCTCCCACCCCCCTGCCACCAGGAGCCCTTGTCCCCCACCCTGTGCCAACACATCCCCCATTCCCCAGCCACTGCTCTGCACCCCCCGTGCCCCCGGTGTCCCCATACCCCGCTGGCCCAGAGCCCGGCCGCGTAGGCCAGCGCCTCCTTCTGCTCCAGCCGGTGTCCCTGGGCGAGGCGCTGCCGCACGCGCTGGGTGACGCCGGCCTCGTGCCCAAAGGCGCGGACGGTCCCCACGGCCCCCAGCGACTCCAGGGCCACTGCGGTGGTGCTGGCCTGTGCTGCCTGCACCTGCCGTGCCAGGTCCTGGGGACACGGGGGACAGGGGGTCACCCTGGGGCCACAGTGGGGACAAGGGGATCGCCATAGGGACGAGAGGGGCCACCACAAGGATGGGGAGACACGGGGTGGGACAGGGGATCACCACAGGGTCACCATGGGGTCACAGAGGGAACAGGGGAGTTACATCAGGGTCAGTACAGGGGCACCACGGGATCATGAGGGGACAGGAAAGTCACCTCGGGGTCACCATGGGGATGGGGGGTGGGGGACAGGGAGGAAACAGGGGATAGGAGGAGGTGATAGAGAGCACGGGGAAGCGACAACAGGCACAGGAAGGCGACAGGACTGAACTTAAGGTGCAGGGAGATGACAAGGGGCCCAGGGAGGTGACGCTGGGGACAGGGACGTGACAGGGGTCCCTCACACCCAATGTCCCCTCAGTACCCGTTGGATGCGCCCGACGGCGCGTGGCAGCAGCAGGAAGAGGGGCAGCGCCAGGAGGGTGAGCAGGCCCAGCAGCGGGGACAGCCAGGCCACCGCGGCCAGCTGTGACACAGCCCGTGTCAGCGCCCACAGCCCCGGCACCAGCACATCGGCCAGCGCCGAGTGCGCCGCCCCGGCGTCCCCCGTCACCCGCGCGGCCACCGCGCCTGGCGTGTCGCCCAGGCTGCCCCCCGGCCCGGGCACGTCCCCACGGAGCACCGCGGCCACCGCTCCGCGCTGGAGCCGCTCCCGCGTCCGTGTCAGCGCCAGAGCTGCCATGCTGTCACAGACCAGCTCGCTGATGGCACTGTGGGGACAGCGGGGTTAGGGGGGCGCGGGTCACCGGCACCTCGGGGTGTCCCCGGGGCTCCGGTGTCACCCACCTGCCGAGCCCCACCAGCACAAGGGGCCACACGGCCGCTGTCGCGTCCTCCTCTGCCACCCGGTCGGTGACACGGCCCGTGAAGTAGGGGGCAGCCACCTCACCTGTGGGGACACGGCATCAGGGTGGTGACCCCTGAATTGGGGGCAGAGGCCCGGAAATCGGACCCTGACCGCCCCCAAAATTGTGTGTTGAGCCCCAAAATTGAATCCTGATTCCCCAAAACTGGGTGCTCACTACCTCTAAATTGGGTCCTGACCCACAAACTGGTTTCTGACCTCCCTCAAATCAGATCCTGCCTCCCCCAAATTGGGTTCTGACCCCTCAAATTGGCCTTGCAACCCCCCATTGGGTCCTGACCCCCCCCCCCGGGGTCTGGGCTGGAAAGGGGCGGGGTCTGGGCGGGGAGAGGGCGGGACAGAGCTGGACGGGCGGGGCCTCGAAAGCGAAACCCTAACGGACCCTATTGGGAGCTACTGGGGAGCTGAACTGGGAGCGCTGGTGTGGACTGGTGAGTGCCCCAAGCTGGACTGGAAACATTGATGTGGACTGGGGAGCTCAGAGGGCTGGACTGGGAGCACTGGTGTGGACTAAGGAGCATCCTGTCCGGACTGGGGAGAGCCCCTCAAAGGGGTCCTGCCCCCCCGGTCGGGGTCCCCTCGTACCGAGAGCAGAAGCCGACATCAGCCCCCCCACCACGGTCCAGCGCCAGCGCTCGGGGCCCAGCAGGGCCAGGAGCCGGCGAACGGGGGGAGACAGCATCGGGGACAGGGGGACCGGCGGGTCCTGCTGGGTCCCGGTCTGCTCCTGCTGCGTCCAGGTCCTGCTCCCGGTCGCTCCCGGTTCTCGCCGTTGGCTCCTGGGAGTCCCAGGGGTCCGTGCGGGTCCCGGGACTGCTCCCAGTGTGTCCTAGCCCGGACCTTGTCGGTCCCGGTGCCACTGATGCCGGCCCGGTTCCTTCCCGGCAGCCGCCGCCTTTTCCCGGAAAGCCGAACGCGCGCGCGGGGGGCGGGGCGGGGCCGGCGGGAATCCCCGGGAATCCCGGCCTGACACGCCCACGCCTGGAATAACGTCCGCGATTGGTCCAAGTGCAGGTGACATCATCGGTTGCCAGGCGGAGGGAGCCGGAGCAGGTTGCCAGACGAAGGAGGCGATGCCAGGACTGAACTGGGAGCGCTGGTGTGGACTGGTGAGTGCCCCAAGCTGGACTGGAAACATTGATGTGGACTGGGGAGCTCAGAGGGCTGGACTGGGAGCACTGGTGTGGACTAAGGAGCATCCTGTCCGGACTGGGGAGCACCCCAGGCTGAACTGGGAGCACTGGGGTGGACTGGTGAGTGCCCCAAGCTGGACTGGAAACACTGATATGGACTGGGGAGCTGAGAGGGCTGGACTGGGAGCAATGGTGTGAACTAAGGAGCATCCTGTCCGGACTGGGAAGTGCCTCATCCAGACTGGAGAGTGCCCCAGGCTGAACTGGGAGCACTGGTGTGCACAGGGGAGCACCCCAGTCCTAACTGGTTTTAACTGGTGAGTTCACAGGCTGTTGATCCTTCCCCGGGAGCCACAGAGGGAGCACTGGTCTGCACTGGTCCCGCCATGGCGCTGCCACCCGCTGGTCTCCTGCCCGGTGTTCTGCTGGCGGCCGATGCCCTGGCACTGGTGTTACTGGCGCCGCTGGTGCCGGTGCTGGCGCCGCTGGGCGTGACGGGCGTGTGGCTCGAGGCCGCCCTGCGCCTGCCCGTCCTGGCCGTGGCCACGTGGCTGCTGGCCCCTCGCCATCCCTGTGGAGCCACCGCGGCCGCCATCACCATCGCCGCCACCCCCGCGGTCTTCGGAACATTCCGGCATTTCCTGGGGCCGTCTGGGGATGGGCCGTGGCTGCTGGTGACCGCGGCACCCGCCTGGCTCGGGGTGACCCACGCTGCTGCCGCACTGGCCCTGCTGGCCTGGGCCGCGCCCCCGGCGCCCGGCGCCGTCCCTGAGACCCCCGGCGGTGTTCCCAAAGCTCCTGGCAGCGTCCGGCGCGCTCTGGCACTGACCTGGGAGGAGCGGAACGTCCTTGGAGCTGCTGTCCTCTGCCTCGTGCTGGCTGTCGTTGGTGGGTGACATGTGGTGACAGCTGCTGACACCCCAAATTTGGGCTCTGCAGCCCCAAAATGGGAACCCCCCCCCTAGTTTGGGGGACATCCCCCCAAAATTGGATGCTGGCACCTAAAAATTGAGTGCTGAACCCCTAAATAGGCGATGACCACCCTAAAACTGAGTGGTGACCCTCCTAAATTGCAAGTTGACCCCTTCAGTGAGGTGCTAACCCTGCCAAAATTGGGTGCTGACCCTCAAACTTAGGGTCTGATGCCCAAAAACGAATGTTGACCTCTAAGACCTGGGATCTTAAGGTCCTGATCTCCTGTGTTTAGGTTCTGACCCATAAAGTTGTGTGCTGAACCCCCCAAAGTTGGTACTGACACCCTAAATTGGATGTAAAATCCCTAAATTTGTCACTAAACCCCCTAAATTGGGTCCTGACCTCTCTAAATTGTCTCCTGCCCAAATTGTGTCCCGCCTTTCCAAAATTAGATCCCCACTCCCCAGAGCGGGTCCTGCCCCTCACAAATCAGGGTCCCCCTGTGTCAGTGGTCACACCCATGGTGACACAGTCTCGGTGACACCCAGGGGAGATGGCAGGACCGTATGTCACCGGGAAAGTGCTGGATGCCATTGGGAGTGGGGATGGAGTCACCGCTGGAGCTGTCGGGATGGTGGCGGCTGCCGGAGCCACAAGGTGAGTTGCAGCATTCCCTGGGCCTGTCCCTGTGTCCCCAACATCCCTGATGCCCGTGTCCCTGCGTCCCCACAGTGTGCTGTTTTCCGGGTGCCGGGGGTCTCTCTTCCTGCTGTTGATGGCACGTCTCCGTCAGAACCTGAGCCTCCGGCTCTTTTCCCACCTGGTTCACCAAGACCTGGACTTTTTCCAGGGAACGCCGGCAGGTAATGGGGCACAGTCCAGCCACATCCCACCTGTTCCATCCCATCTGTCCCATCCCATCCCAACTATCCTGTCACCTCAGTCCCCATCCCAGCATTCAGTGCCGCCCCCCCTCCTCCCAGCCCCTAGTCCCCCATTCCATCCTATCCCATCTGTTTGTTATCCCATCCCATCACTCCATCCCCATCATTCCCATTCCCACCATCCCATCCCATTCTATTCTATGCCATCTTCCTGCCTTCATTCTACTCCAATGTTCCATCCTGTCCCCATCCCACTTTCCCGTTCTAGCCACTGTTCTATCCCCTTTATTCTCATTCCCATGCCTCTGTCCTATTGCATATCCCCAGCTTCCTCCCACCATCCCATCACCTTATCCCATGATCTCCATTCCCACATCCCATCTCCCCTATCCCATCCCATTCCACCCTGACCATCTTTGTACCCATTCCCATCATCCCATCCCACTGGTCTCCATCACATCATTCCCAACCCGTCTCACCCACCATTATTCCAACCTCTTTTCCCATCCTGCAGCTGAGCTCTTGGCTCAGTTTTCCATGGAAGTGCCACGGGTGTGCAAGTCAGCACCGACTGGAGCCAACCACCTGCTCCGAAGCCTGGTGATGGCCCTGGTGGTGGGGGCATTCATGGTGGGGCTGGCACCGGGGCTGGCACTGCTGGCACTGCTGGAGGTGCCCCTTGGAATTGCCACCCATCGCATCCAGAGCGCCCGAAAACAGGTCGGGAATACAGGAGGGAAAGAGTGGGAGGGGGACGCAGAGGTGGGATAAGGGGGTGGGAATGGTGGAGCTGGGGTGGAGGCTAGGGGAATGGGATGGTGGGGGTGGGATGGGATGGGGAATGGAGAGGAGAACGATGGAGATGGAAATGGTGGGATGAAAGGGGATAAAGACCAGGGGAGTGGGATGGTGGGAATGCTGACATGGGGATAGAATGGAATGGTGGAGAGGGGAATGGCATGGATGGGAAGAGAAGGATGAGGTAAGGTGGGATGGTGGGGAAGGGACAGGGTGGGGACAGGATGAGAGAGTAGGGATGGGGATGGTGGGATTAGGACTGGGAGAATGGATGGGAATGGTGAGGGTGAGAGAGAAGGGTGTGGGATGGTGGGAATGCAATAGTGGGGAGGCAGTGGGTGTGGTGGGATGGGAACTCTAGGGACAGGATGTGGATGGTGGCCCAGGAAGGTGACCTGGGAAAGTTGGAAATCCCCTGTTGCTGCCACAGGCACTTCAGCGATCCATGCTGGAAGCATCCGCCCGGACAGCCTCGGGGGTGCAGGAATCTGTTGCCGCCATCGAGACAATCCGAACCTTTTCGGCGGAGGAGGAGGAGGAGGAGCAGCACAGACAGAACCTGGCCAAGGAGCTGAGGCTGAAGGAGCAGATGGAGCTGGAGCTGGCATTCTTCACCCTTGTCCACAGGGTCAGAGGGGACTGGGAACAGGAACACCAGGGAATGGGGGTGCAGGAATCAGGGATAAGGACACTGGGAATGGGGGTACTAGGAATGAGGACACTGGGACCAGGAATGGAAAACCAGCAGCTGAGATGGGAGCACTCAGAGCAGAATGGGGACACCAGGAATAGTGACAGCGGAACAGGGACATTGGGATCAGGAGCAGGCATGCCAGGAGTAGGAATGGTGGCATTAGAAACAGGATGGGGACACTGGGATAAAAGTTGGGAACATCAGGATCAGGAATAGGGACATCAAGAGTGAGATGGGGACACCAGAACTGGAATGAGGACACCAGGAACAGGATGAGGGCACCAAGAACAGAGATAAAGACCCCAGGAGTGGGATGGGGACAGGCGGAATGGGGTCACCAGGAGTGGTTGGGGGCAGCAGCATCCCTGTCCCAACCACAGGTGATCAAACTGGCCATCCAGGTCGTGGTGCTCTTCCGGAGCCACCAGCAGCTCCGTGACGGATACATCACTCCTGGGATCCTTGTCACCTTCCTGCTGTACCAGGAGAGAGTTGGTGGCCATGTCCAGGTGATCCCATGGAATGCACGTGTCTGTCCATCTGTCCATGCTTCTGTCCATCCTGGTGCCACCCCTTTTCTTCTCCCCAGGTGCTGCTCTACGGCTTCAATGAATTCCTGACCAATGCAGCTGCTGGACAGAAGATCTGGGAATACCTGGATCGGCAACCTGCAGGGAATGTCGGGGGGACACGGGAGCCCCCCGAGCTTCAGGGCCACGTCACTTTTCAGAAGGTCTCCTTCACATATCCTGGGAATCCAGAGCACCCTGTGCTGAAGGTGGGTCTGGGGGGAGGTGGGGCTTCCCAGGGGTCAGAATTCTGGCATCACCTGTCCCCATCCCACAGGAAGTAACCTTTGAGGTGCGTTCCGGGGAGGTGACAGCACTGGCAGGGCCCAATGGAAGCGGGAAGAGCACGGCCGTAGCGCTGCTGGAGCGGCTGCGGGATCCTGGGAGTGGGACAGTGCTGCTGGATGGGATCCCGCTGCCAGAATATGAACACCAGTACCTGCACCGGAAGGTGGGGGCAGCAGAGACACTGGGAACACTGGGAATGGAATGGGGAAAATGGGGACGGGGTGGGGACACTGGAATGGAACTGGGACCACGGAAGCATGGCTGGGGCCATCAGGAGCAGGAATGGGGACACTGGGAAGAGGAATGGGGACACCAGAAATAGGATGGGGACAACAGGAAATGGGAGAGGAACATTGGGAAATGGGATGGGGATGACAGGGATGGGGATGGGAAAAGTGGGAATTCAGGGGTGGGGACACTGGGGACACAGATGGGGACAATGGGATCAGGGATGGAGACTATGGGGACACCAAGGTGGGATGGGGTTATGGAGCAGGGGTAGGGACACCAGGAGCCAAGACAGCATCACAGGGCTTGGTGCTGGGGCAGGTGGTGCTGGTGGAGCAGGATCCCGTCCTGTTTTCTGGAACGATCCGTGAAAACATCATGCTGGGGCTGGAGCACTGCAAAGAGTCTGAGCTGCGGGCGGCCGCCACTGCTGCTGGAGCCATGGACCTCATCCAGGGGCTGGAGCAGGGCTGGGACACTGGTGAGAGCCATGGGGACGGGGCACCCCTAGGGCACATCCCCCTGCTCCCAGGATCCTCTGGCAGAGATGGGAGAGCGTGGTGGGTGGTACATGGTGGGGTGTGCGGGGGATCCCTGAGGTCAGATCCCACTGATCCCATGTGATTGCTCCTACAGAGGTGAGGGAGTGTAGGGGGTAGGGGAAGGGGGGGAACCTCTCGGGCTGGGATCCCACTGATCCCGGGATCCCCCCAGAGGTGGGGAAGCACAGGGGGTGGGAGAAGAGGGGAGAACTGCAGGGCTGGATCCCACTGATCCCACGTGATTGCTCCCACAGAGGTGGGGGAGCGTGGGGGGCGGCTGGCGGCAGGGGAGCGGCGCCGCGTGGCCCTGGCCCGGGCTCTGCTCCGGCGTCCAGCCGTCCTCATCCTCGACGAGGCACTGGATGACGAAGACGACGGAGCGGTGAGTGGGGTGGGATGGAGGGGGTTGGTCTGGAATGGGATGGTGGGATGGGGACTGGAGAGATGTGGTGGTGGGAGTAACGGATAATGATTGGGATGGAGTGGGAATGATGTGATGAAAACAGGGATTGGATGGGGTGGTGTGGGTCAACAAGGTGGAGAAATAGGACAGGATAGTAGGATGGGATAGAGACCAGGGGTGGAGGATGGCAGAAAAGTAGAATCAAGGGATGAAGACAAGGAGATATGATAGGGTGAGGTGGGATGGGGTGGGAATGGAGGGTTAGGAATGCTGGGATGAGGACAGAGAGATGAAATGCAATGGAAAGGGTTGGGGTGGTGGGAGTAGGATGGGATGAGACAGTGGGAATGGGGATGGTGTGGACAGGTTGGCTTAGTGGGCAAGGGGATGGGATGGAGAACAGGGAGGTGGGATGGTGAGAACAGGATGATGGCGTTAGGGTGGGACTGAGAGAAATGGGACAGTGGGGTGGGATTGGTTGGTTGGGATTGGGTGGGATCAGGTGGGACAGGGTAGGACTGAGTTGGATGGGTTGGGATGAGGGTTCTCTGGCCCCAGGCACAGCGCTGGGTGTGCACTGGGCTGGCCCAGACCGTGCTGGTTGTGTCCCACCGGCCGCGGGTGCTGGACGCGGCCGATCGCCTCGTGGTGCTGGAGCGTGGAGCCGTGATGGAGACAGGAACACCAGCGGAGCTGCGGGAACACTGCGGGGCCTACAGCCGCCTGCTCCTTGAAGGAGGCAGCACTGGGCAGCCCGAGGCCCCCAGGATGGGCAGCGAGAAGGGGGCTGCATCTGTCAGGGAATAAAGGGGAATTAGCCCCTGTGTCCCCATTCCCGGTGTTTGTGTCCCCAACCAGCACCTGGTGTCCGCAGTCACAGTGTCCTGTGAATTCCTTCTCCCCACATCCTCTGGATCCCAACTCCCTGTGTCGCCTTGGTCCCTGTGTCCCCCATGTCCCCACCGTGTCCCCCAGGTCCGCCCATTTCCTGGATGTCTGTGTCCCCTGTATCCAAGCCCCGCCATGTCCCCATGATCCCTGGTCCCCATGTCTGCTCCTGGACATGGGACACAGAGTGGGAAATAAATCCCATGGAATGGATCTGGGCATGGGCATCATATCCTCATCCCACTCCTGCTATGCTCACTCCAAGCTCCTGGTGTCCCCAGTCCTTTACCAGTGTCCCCCTCCTTATCCTCAGTGTCTTCATCCCCATTCCAATGTCCCCTTTTGCATTCCTGGTTCCCTGAGAGGAAGTGCTGGGCACTGGAGGAGGGAACTGTGATTTATTGCCCAAACCAGGGTATTTTCACACCAGAATTAAAACATTTGGAATAACTGTGTTTAAATTCTTGTATTTAAAACATGGGAAAACAGGAAGCTTATTATTCAATATAAACAGAACAAGACGATTGGGGATAAAAGCATCATATAGTCAACCCAGGACAGTCAGTCTGTTGGGAAGGGCTGCTGCGTGCTGGATAGGAACAGCAGGATGAGCTCTGCCAGCAATTTGTGGCTTTCTGCAGGGAGAGAGAAGGGGTTGGACCTGGCACCATGCATCATTCAGCTGGTGATTCCTGCCAGGATGAGAGCAAGAGTTGGTGTCCTCCTGTCTCTGTCCCCATCCCATTGGCTGGATCTGGCCAAAGAGACCACAGAGAGCCAGAATCCCACCAGATCCTGCTGTATCCATTGTATCCCAATCCTGCTCCACCAATATCACCTGATCTGCTTTGGAATCCCCCCAGTCCTGTTCTGGAATCCCACTCCAGTGCTGCTCCATCCATCCAACCTGATTCTGTTCTGGAATCCAGCCCAGACATACTTTAGAATTCTCCTGATCCCAATCTGGAATCCTGCCCTATATTCCTTCTGGAATCCCACACAGGTTTCGCTCTGTACCTGTGGTCAAGCAATTGGTTTCTCTGCCTGTTTTTGTAGAATGAGAAAATCCATGAGATTCCAGCATGGATCACACACCAGGATTCATCTGCATGGAGGTGATCCAGAGCTGGATCTGCCACTGTGTTAGGTCACATGTCAGGGGGTGAGGGGCACAGGAGACAGAGACCGCTCACCCCAATGTTCATGGCAAGAGAGGGTTTTATTTTCCATGCCCTCCTTTACATAGAACATTTGAAAGGCCTGGTCTGGATGCTCTCATTGGTTTGAACTCCATGCCCCTTTGTGTCCTGGGCCACTGAAATGCCTGCAGCCTTATGAGAGATCCAACTGGGAAAACCCTTGTCAGTCAGCCCAGGGGCTAGAAACAGGACACCAATATCTCACTCTTTCTTTTCTGTAAATTTTGATTTGCATTATAGCTTCAGCATTTATGTTCAGGACCTGCTAGGGGAGAGCTCAGGTAAATATGCCACAGGCATTAGGCTTATAGGTTACAGATTTCAATTTATTTGTAAAAACAACAAGCCATTTAACCCTTGAAGAAAATGAAAAAACAGTCTGTAAGAACAAAAATCATTCAACCCTTATTAAAGAAAAAACAACTTGAAAACTAGGAAACAATCTGTAGAAAAGGAAAACAGTTTGTAAACAAGGAGATAATTTGTAAACAGATAAATCTTTGTGTGAACTGTAGTCCCAGATTTCCACAAGGCAGTCATCAGTCATCAGCTCTGATCACAAAGCTCTGCGATGTCTGCTGAGGGTTTGTCAGGAGGGTGCTGTGGTCCTGAGCAGGATGCAGTGCAGGCTGGATGCATCTGGCAGGTACCCAATGTGTCCCACAGTCTGTTGGAACACCTGCATGTCCCCAATCCCAGGTAATGAGATCCCAGGGACCCCCCATGTACTGGTAAGGAGGTCTCATACCATTACCTTGGGTTTGGGCAGATGAACATCACATGATTGCATTGATAAGAAGTGATTTAACACAACTGGGTTCTGTGATTTTCCTAATACTGTTGAGTGATTTAATGTGTATCTAGCTTTAGTTATTCTGCTCTGTGGGGTCTCACCACACATACCCCCCTTTTTTTTTATTAAGTATACCTTTTAAGGCACCATGTGCTCTTTCCACTGTCGCTTGTCCAGTTGGTAAATGAGGGATGCTGGTTTGGTGTGATACACCCCAGAGCTGTAGAAATTGTCTGGTTTTCTGTGAAGTGTATGCAGGCCCATTATCAGTTTTGATGGTTTGAGGAATGCCCAAGGCTGCAAAAGCTGATTGCCAGTGTGCCATGACATCCCATCCTCTTTCTCCTCTGTGTACTGTAGCCCACATTGATGAGGAAAAGGTGTCAATTGAGACGTGGGTGTATTTTAAACGGCCACATTCAGGGATGTGTGTGACATCACTCTGCCAGATTTGCAAAGCATGCAGTCCATGAGAGTTCACTGTCATCTGCAATGGTGTAGCATGACCTTGACATCACAGATGCTAACAATATTACAAGCCTCTGTGTTTGACAGCTGAAATTGCTGTTGTAAAGCTCAAGCACCTTGGTGGAAAAAAACTGTGCAATGCCTTTGCTTGTGGAAGCGTGTCTGGCTGTGGTGCTGTCCAAGCAGGGCCAGCGAGCAGATCTGCACTGGCATTGCCCTCTGTGATAAAACCTGGTACATTTGTGTGGCTCCTGATGTGTAGGCTGTAGTACGGGTAGGTCCTGGCCTGGATGGTTAGGCATAGGAATATTAGCAATTTAAACAGTTGCACTTTATCAATCTCTTTTAGTAGTGCTCGGTCTAACCTTTGTGTGATGTCAGCCACATATGCAGAATCAGTTACAACATTTAGGGGAGTGTGGGGAAAATGTTGAAAAGCCATAGCTACAGTTCTACTGTAGTAGTTCTACTATTTGAGGTTATCTATACTCATGTCCCTCCAACATTTGCCACTCACCCTCCTCTATCCATGTCACAATGGCCTTTCCTGTTTTCCCAGAGCCATCAGCACCATAACACCCTTCAGGGGTGTTCAGCTATTTAGGGGTTTTAGAGGGAGTGTAGTTTCACTACTTAACTTTAGCAATCTATGGCTTGGTAAGTGATAAGTGATTTGTCCAGTAAAGTTTTGAAGGGCGCATTGCAAGGCTGGGCAGTTAGCAAGACTCCACTCAAATTCTTCTTGTTTTATGAGAATAATAATTTGTGCAGGGTCTTTTGCATTCAGTTGCAGACACCTGAGACGGCATTTAATGATTATCTGTGCAATTAGCTCAAAGATGGTAGGTGCATCCTTTTTGGTCGGTGAGGTAAAAACGCCCACTCTAGAATGTGCAAAGGGTCAGGCCAGTGTGTGTTCCACTGCCCAAAAATACCAATAATATGTCAGTGAAGATAAAGAATATGGTGATACACACCTCTGGGCATATCCAGTGGACCTGTCTGTTTGTGATAGCTTGATCTACTGTTTCGAGAGCAGCTTTTGTGTCTGGGGTGAGTTTTCTGGGGGAAGTTGATTCGGGATCCCCTTTCAGGAGGTCAAATAAGGGTGTTAATTGTGAACTGGTTATTCCCAGGTATGATCTTACCCAGTTAATAGTACCCAAAAGTTTCTGTGCATCATTTAAACTCTCAGCCTTGGTTGAAAATTGAATTGGTTGTGGCTGTATTGTTTTGTTCGTTATGTTAAGTCTCAAATATTTCCAGGGCGCTTCTTGCACTTTCTCTGGCGCCACCTGCAGCCCAAATTAATTTAATGCTTGCAGCAGGTTTGGCTGCAATCCTTGTGGAAGAACACGCCATGGATAATGCTGTGCTGCTGCAGCATCGTTAATGGGGGGCACTGTGAAGGCAAACTTTGGGGTATTGTCTGGGTGCAATGGAATAGTGAAAAAACAATCTTTAGGTCCACAATCAGGATGTCCTGTATCATTGTAGGGAAAGGCATACCAGCTTGCAAAACCCCCATGCCCTCCATCACTGAATTCATTCTTCTCAGGTCACAGAGCAACCTCCATTTACCAGATTTCTTTTATACCCAAATACAGCTGTGTTCCAAGGGCTCATAGATGGCTCTATATGTCCTTGAGCTAGCTGTTCTTGCACTAATGATTTTAGGGCATCTAGCTTCTCTTTCTCAAGGGATCACTGTGGTATCCACACGGGCTGAGTTGTGGCTCCACTGTGGCTCCACACAGACATTTTAGAGCTGGTGTGGTGCCCTTATGCCCATCAACACAGTGGCCCCTGTTAAAAATCCATCCCCACCTGAACTCCCCATGCAGACAGAACGTTTCTCTCCGCCACAGGTTCAGTGGTGCAGCGGTGATGTACGGCTGGATTGTCACTGTTTGGCCCCCAGGATTCTTTATCAACACAGGATTGCTGCTTAAGCAGCTCTGTGAGAGCCCTCCTGGGCCAGCAATGGCAGATCCTGAAGGTGTAGTAGGCCACGTGTTGGCAGAGATGACGGTGATGTCTGCTCCCGTGTCAACCATCCCACCGACCTTTATCTGTGAGGGCTTTGCCCTGGGCATCGTCACAGTACAAGACATGCTGGGTCTTTGATTCCTCACAGCCTGAGTCCAGTTCACCTGAAGTTGCCCTGTGGATCCGAAGCCTTGATCTCCTTGCTTTTTAGAATCTGTTTTGGGGATATAAGACTTAAAAGGGACAAGTTGAGCAATTCTAGTTTTTATGGGAACAGTCACTGGTGGAGTAGGGGTGGACACCATTGCATGTATTTGTCCAGCAAAACTTGTATCAATAACACTAGGGTACACAATTATACCTTGCATTGTGGTACTGGACTTTCCAATTAACAATGCACTCAACCCTTCCACAATCAGCCCCAAAGCCTCGAGAGGGACTGTAGGTATGTGCTCCCTGTTGACAGAGTGACAAAATTATCCTTTGTCTCCTTAAAAAGGAAAAAAGCCCAGAAGTTTCTCTCCTCAATTAGGTAAAAAGATGCCTCATAGGACCTAGAGGACTTCACCTCAAACTTAAGGATAGCCAATTGGACAGAAGCCAAAAAGTCCTGCCTAAGCAAGTTACTAGAAAAAGAAGAGGACAAAGAAACTAATTGCTTTTGTGAGGTGTTTGTCCAGGAGCAAGAACCTCTTGCCCTGGCTTGGTTTTTCTCTGTAAAGAGCTTTGTTATTTTGCCTTTTATTAAAACTTTTCTGTTTCCAACACTGCCACAGAAGCCATCCTGCTGATTTTATGCCATCTGAGGTGGCTATCTCAGGTGTGATATAAATCTCCAAGAGCTTATAAGACTTAGCTCGAAAAGATCCTTATATCAAGGGACCCTGTGTACCTGTGAAGTGCATGTAATTATTGTGATAAAGGTGGACACATCCACTCCGGCTGCTCCTTGAGTCCTTCTTGAGAGCTGATCGCA